CACGCAAAGTCTAACTTCTCAGGCAATTAAAATCACTGCCATAAACTTGCTCTTAAAGCCAGTAATAATTTGTGCAAGCACTTATGAATTCAGCATTGACTCTTATATACCCAGTAAGAATAAAATTTGTTTTGGATTGCATCCTGTTTAACTGCCCAGAGCTGCACACAGCCTCTCCTGCCCCTAAATACTGTTACAAGAGATGGAACCTGACGTCATGGACCAAATGGACTCAGCAGCTTTATAGGGATGCACTATAGTTCATGCACTAAGGAATGATCTCTCTCTCTATGTCTGTGTGCATGGTTATATATATATAGATATATGTATATATGTAAGAGCGATGGTATATTGAAAATGTGGGATCTGAGCAGGACGTGAATGGTATGGAATAAGGGGTGGATACTTTCCTGGGTTCAGCAGTAGCAGTCATTTTTCTCCTTGGTAGTTGGAGCAGTGCTGTGTTTTTGACTTACGGCCTGGGAAAAGGGCTGATAGCACCTATGTTTTTAATTTCTGCTCAAATATTTAGTCTGACCAAGGACTTTGTGAGTCTCATGCTCTGCCAGGGAGGAGGGGAAGCTGGGAGGAGCAGAGATAGGACACTTGACCCAAACTAGCCAAAGAGGTATTCCATACCACAGCACGTTATGCCCAGGATGTTACCCGGAAGGGCTGACTCACTGCTCGGTCAGGCTTGGTATCGACGGGTGGTATTGTATTCTCTTTCTTTGTTATTTCCCTTATCATTATTATTATCAGTGGTAGCAGTAGTGGTTTGTGTTATACCTTAGTTACTGGACTGTTCTGATCTCAACCCCTAGAACTTACATTCTTTCGATTCTCCTCCCTGTCCCTCCTGCTGCAGGGGGGTGGGGAGAAGGTGGAGGGCTGAGCCGGTGGTCTTTGTGGCTGACTTGCCAACAGGGTTTAAAACACGACAATTACTTAATCCCTGTCCATGACCAGCGGAGGGCAGTGAGCAAGGGCCAAAAGGGAGAAGACTTGTGATAATGAGTACCTAATCTAAGAGTAATAGCCTCACCGCTCTCTCGGGCACCTAATGAATATGCATGTTTGTGTGTAATAAATATCTGCTTGATTAACCCTTTGGGGTGCAAGTTAGAAGCAGTGATCCCCCTTCCACCCGCCGCTGTAATTAAAACCTTGCTTTATAACTCTCTCTGAGTTGTAGAGTCTGATTCTGTGTTTCACTGGGTGTAGGGACAATCCTTGGGGGTGGGAGCTCCCCCAAAACGCCTCACCTCTCAGAAGGGCTGCTGACATCTGAGAGAGGCAGGGTCAAGACCTACACCACCAGCTTCACACTCCGGGATGGTAACAGATGCAGTCCTTACTGGGAAGAGGCAGAGCGCCAATGGAACGACATCACTCGCAACTACAAGTACCACACTGTGCGAGATCCCTTAAGCCACCGCATTCTTCCGCCCCGCCCAAGATGGCGGCGGACGGCATGGCTCCGCCTACGCTTCCGCGTCCGACCACCCCAAGATGGTAGCGGCGAGCCGCGCATAGCTTTTCTGTGGCATCTCCAAGATAGCAGGCGGGCGGCATGGAGTCGGAACGACATCTGTTGCTATGGCTGTTCGCTGGGTCACGTGAACGCCCTGCGACTGGAGACGCAACGTGTCAACACTAGAGGAGCAGCTGCGGTGGTTGCTGGGCTGGGCGGTGCTGCGCCGCCTGCATCATGCCATCCTGGCTAGGGCTCCTGCGCTGGCTGCCGGGGCGGCGGGTGAGGCTGACTCGTGCTTGGCCGCTGCCTGTGCACCGCTGGTGCGGCTGTGGCTGCTGCTGCTGTTGTTGTATCTTGTGATAAACACATAAATGTATTGGCTTTCGCAAATCATAGGTGTGGTTATGTGGATATAACTGTACGAGTTTGCAATAACAGAAACAAAACTTGCTAAAGACACAAGACTAGACAATAAGTTAAATAGGTTAAGATCTCTTGAGCAAAACAGAGTCACATAGCAAAAGAATTTGTAAAGGTAAAAGAAGGGGGGGACGACGACACGGACTTGATATAAAGTAAACTAGTGCCTGGAAAAACATAAAGTACTTTTTTAGCTTAACTTAGGTTGTAGAAAGAGAACCATGTTTATGTTGTAAGTCTGTGGAATGTAGTGGCCCCACTAAACATGAATTAGTTGTTTCACAGTAGTCTTCTAAAGTGTCTTTAGTTTTAAAGAACAATCTTTGTGTTGTAAGTCTGTGGTGAGATAACAGGATTTAGTGGTCCCACTAAACATGAGTGAGTTATTTCACACCATCCTTCTACTTATCAGTTAGTTTAGAGACAGAGCCTCCCAAACATCTGCTAGCTTGGGATACTCCTTGTCTGCCCATCCTGCAATAAATTTTGCAGGAAGGGCACACTGGTTTAAATCTTTGCTAGTTATCAGAATAATTACAGATATAGCTGGTTGTGTGATTACTGGGGGGCCAACTGTGCCAAAGGTGAAAAGTACACTGTGAAGAAGACTGCTTACTTCATCTATACCCCTACTCACAAGAGGAAGACTGTTTACTTCATCCTCAAGACCCTTGCCCACAATCACCGCAGAGCAGTGCACAGACGCCAAGAGGAGGAGACTTATGACAGTAAATTCTTGACGCTAGTTATAATATCCCCCGCCTATATGCGGGAATTGTAAATATGTATGTAACTAATGTAATAGTGAAAGTGTATAAACCTGTAACAAATACTTTATTAATTATCTAATCTCTGTGTGGGGCTTTGAAGACATAAAGCAGAGCATGGTTAAGTACTGACAGACTTCTTACTACTTCTTACTGCTTCTGAGAGTGTTTTTCATTGTGGTTTTTTGTTGTGTTTTTTTTTTTTGTTTTTTTTTTTTATTATTTCTTTTGTTTTAGCTTCTTTTCTGCACACCTCCCATAGTATAACAAGGAGCATTTTCTTTAGTGTGACTTTCATCTTGAGAGTTTGCTGCAAATACCAGCTCATCATGTCTTCGTGAGGGTGAAGGCAGGAAATATTATCTCAGTAATGACAGTACATCTGGCAGTGTACGGGACATAAGTACAACGACCCTGCTCCTGGCGAGTTCATAATGAAGCAGCTGAGTAGCATGGGTAACAAAGTTGTTGTGCCTTCCTGTTTTCCAGTCATGGGCTCTTGATACAGAAGAGATGTTCCCTGAGCTTGCCCTCCTGATGTATTTCAACACAGAGATCCCCAATTCTGTTGCTACCAAAATGTTTTGGGCTTCATATGCTGTGAAGGCTTGTATTTGCTTTGGTGGTGGTCACAGCATATGGCAGTCTGTTTGGATGCTGTGGCTAGGTCTGCCTTCTGTCTGTCTGTTATTGCTCTTTGATAGTAAATAATAACTTTTACTATGCAGAACCAGTCAGAGGAGCATGTCAGAAGCGACAGGGTGGGTCAGGGAAAGGTTAAGTAGCACAGAGCTGCCTGGTGTTAGTAACTTCCTTTTCATAAAGGATTGTTGGGCGTGTTTAAAGGAGCTACCAGAATCTTGTAGCCTTTCTGCTCCAAGGTCTTGACAATAACAGATAAAAATGTGGTAATTTACGCTATGTTTTTTTTGTTGCACCAGCAGTAAATGTGCTTGCTAGGAGCAGCTGAAGTAAAACGTGAAACATTTTAAGATGAAGTCCTATTGATTTGTAACCTTGTGGGTTTGGGGTGGGTGTTTTTGTTTGTTTGTTTGTTTGTTTGTTTTCCCTAAACATGCTTCTGTAAACCTTGGGGTTTATCTTTAGCTTTTCATTTCTGTCTGATGACTGCCCAAGCTTGTTCCTGTACAAACCTTTGGGTTTGGAGGAGGAGGTAACATATAGTGAAATGGTGAATTTAGTCCCCTGGCAAGGTGCCACCTTGAGAGGAGCCAATGCCTCTGTTGAACAGTTCCATTGATACAGCCAGAGAGCTGCAGTGGGTGCTTTTATCTCTCTGAGAATTGGCTGCCTTGGTGCTGGAAAACTTGCTGGGGCACCTTTCTCAGCTTGGGCTCTTCTGAGGTAGCCAAGCACTGTTGGTTATTGCTGAGGGGGACAAGGCAGGAGTTGCTGCTGTCATTTATATGGCTAAGGACATGCTGCAGCAGGAGACCACAGCCAAAGGGTAAGAGTTCTTAATCACCAGGAACTTTTGCCTAGATGTAAACTAATAATATTACTAGTAATAGACAGCTCAACCAGTTCCTTGGGTCAGGCGGTTCTGTAATTCATGTTTTTTTTTTGTTTTCTGGAGTAAAATAAGCAGCTATATGGCTTACTTTTTTTTTTTTTTCCCAGCTTTACATCTTGTCTCTTTCTGTTGCATTTATTGTGCTTGTTCTAAGCAGACATCTAATTTTTAACTTACTTGTATTGAGCACATGTTCATACTGAGCTTCTAGCAAAATTACATGGTGCAGGCAGTTATGAAGTTGATCTTCTTTGAAGGAATTTTGAATCTTTAGTCTGTAAAGCAGATGGAGATTAGATTGCAATACATGCACTGCCTAAGTTAAACCTGATTAAAAATCCAAGTGTTTTTGTGAATGTATGCTGTCTTTGCTTTCATATCTATTCTGCATGCAGTGTAAAAGGTCCTGTAAAGATACAGGCTGTTTTTCCAGCATCACTGTAAGTTATGCTCCTGTGCTCCTTCAGGAGTCTGTGCAGTCTGCCAGGCCATGTGCTTATAGTTAGAAAATACACCTTGGTGTTTCAAATGGTGATTTGGTGAGAGTGTTAGAGCTTGTAGATGAAATTCCAACCTCAGGCTCCATTGCTGTATGTGAAGGGTAGCACACTCTTGTCTAGTCTGGGACTATATCAGAATCAGTTCCTTATGCAGCTTAAACTCTGTATTTCCTTCTTGAAGGTACTATGATAAACCATGTTCATGAATTCAAGCAACATTTTCTTCTTTAGGAGGTGGAATACAAGAGTACCAATTCTGCAAGGTGATCCTTGATTTTTCCATCTTGCTCCCCATAACAAGTATTGTTTTATACCCTCTGCAGACTATCAGGTACTGATGGATGTTTCTGACAGCCCTGAGCGAAATCCCTGCTCTCCTGATGAAGAGGACCAGCAGCATTCCAATGATGAAGTCCTGAAGGAGAGTTATTCAGATCGGGAACTCGATGGAGAGGGTGGGCAAGGCAGCATTATGGGAGAGGAGGAGGATGCAGCCAGGGGACTGAGTCGTGGTGAAGTGGAGAACCACTCAGATGAAGAGGACCTCTTAAGTGAAACTAAGTCTCAGGAATCTGACAACAACAAGCAGAGTGGGGAGCTGAAGAGCCCTCTGCCTTGCAAAGGAGAGGAGGAAGATCAGACAAATGACCTTGGTGATGAAGCATCCTCTGTCACCCGTGAACTAGATGAACATGAGTTGGACTATGACGAGGAAGTTCTTGAAGAACCAAGTGCTGCTGCTGTAGAGGAGGATGGTGAGAAAGCTGCTGGTGAGGATGACAAGGAAGAGGAGAAAGGAGATGATGCCCATGAAGATGAGAAAAAATCCAGCAGCAAAAGTGATGATGGAAAGGATGGCCAGGATCCCCTCAAGGAGAAGAAGAAAGATGATGATGGAGAAATTGATGATGGAGAAATTGATGTAAGTAGGAGCTGGTCTCGGGCAGAGTCCTGCAGGGAGAGACCTGTCCTTGCGTTTCCAAACTGTTTGGCTCTTAGACTGCCATGCCTTCCTTCTTTGACATGAATTAGCTGTTAGCTGAGTCCCCAGTGTGTAAGTAACACACTTTCTCTTTGGAGGTAAGACCATAGTGTGTACCAAATCCTAAAATCAATGTCTAATGCTATATACTGTAGAAAAGCTTTGTGCCAAATATTGTCAGAGCTGTCGCAAATAAGCTTTGTTCCCATTGATGAACATGGAAGGGCTCCAGTGCTGCCTCAGCTCTTGGAGGACTTTTGAGTGCTGCTGACAGCAAATTACTTAACTATGGATTAGGTGTTAATAAGCTGTCTTACCGGTTGAGGTTGAGAGGCTGGTGCTGGGGAGTGGCTGCTGTGCTTGAGGCACCAGGCATGTGCAGGAAGCCTGTGGCCCTGAGCTGGTTCTTGGCATCTATCAGTATCTGGATGCATGGAAGAAGAGCAGAAGGTGTTGGGCTCTCTGGAAAGTGCCTAACCAGGAAGCCCCTGCATGTGGTTTGGGTGATGTGTTCAGGGATGTGTAGTCCCAGTAGCTGCTGTTTCACAGCTGAGGACAAATGCAGCTATTTAGAAAAATCAAAACCTGGCTTTAATTGCATTGCTGTTTGCCCTAATCACCACTCTATCCGTCTTTGTCTTTAGGTGGGAAGCACTGCAATACAGCAGTTGTGCTTAATACAGCTTAATACCAGTTTTCCTCTTGCAGGCAGAAGAAAACAGGACAAAGCAATTCTAGCAGTAGAGTACCTCCTTGTGGGTTCCTGGTCTGATGGACACCTTGCTTGAATCTGAATAGTGGGAGTGCAAAGCACTGCAAAGAGAAGTTGCTGGCCCACAGCACTTGTCTCTGCTTCTGGCTCTTCATGCCAGAAGGGGTCCTGCACAGCTAGGCTAGGTTGGGGCACCGTTGTGACTGTCCTGGTGACCAGACAAAGAAGCAATGGGCTGTGGATGGGGTCACCTAGTGTGGATCTCCTCAGCTGAGGAGGGGAGGGTTCAGACTGGAGAGGTGGTGTTGCCTTCCAGTCCCTGTAGCTGTGTAGCTGCCCTGGCCATGTGCTCAGGAAGCTCATCACACACAGAATCCCAAGGGTTGGAAGGGACCTCAAAAGATCGTCTAGTCCAACCCCCCTGCAAGAGCAGGGTAACCTAGAGTACATCACACAGGAACTTGTCCAGGCAGGCCTTGAATATCTCCAACGTAGGAGACTCCACAGCCCCCCTGAGCAACCCGTTCCAGTGCTCTGTCACTCTCACAGTAAAGAAGCTCTGCGCTGGACTCTTTCAAGCAATTCCCTGTCCTTCTTGAACTGTGTGGCACAGAACTGGACACAGTATTCCAGATGCGGCCTCACCAAGGCAGAGTAGAGGGGGAGGAGAACCTCTCTTGACCGACTAACCACACCCTTTCTAATGCACCCTAGGATGCCATTGGCCTTCTTGGCCACAAGGGCACATTGCTGGCTCATGGTCATCCTCCTATCCACCAGGACCCCCAGGTCCCTTTCCCCTTCACTACTGTCCAGCAGGTCAGCCCCCAACCTGTACTGGTACATGGGGTTGTTCTTCCCCAGATGCAAGACTCTACACTTGCCCTTGTTGAATTTCATCAAGTTTCTCCCCGCCCAACTCTCCAGCCTGTCCAGGTTTCGCCGAATGGCAACACAGCCTTCTGGTGTGTCAGCCACTCCTCACAGTTTAGTATCATCAGCGAACTTGCTGAGGGTACACTCAGTTCCCTCATCCAGGTCGTTGATGAAAATATTAAACAGCACTGGTCCCAGCACCGACCCCTGAGGGACTCCACTAGTCACAGACCTCCAGCTAGATTCTGCCCCATTGACCACAACTCTCTGCCTTCTTCCTTCCAACCAGTTCTTGATCCACCTCACTACCTGATCATCAAGCCCACACTTCCTTAGCTTATCTATGAGGATGCTGTGGGATACAGTATCAAATGCCTTACTGAAATCAAGAAAAAACACATCTACCGCTCTACCATCATCCATCCACCTAGTTATTTCCTTATAGAAGGGTATAAGGTTGGTCAAACATGACTTCCCCTTGGTAAAACTATGTTAGCTGCTCTTAATGACCCCCTCATCCTTGATATGTCTAGAGATGGTGTCAAGAATAAGTTGTTCCATCACCTTTCCAGGGATGGAGGTAAGGCTGACCGGTCTATAATTACCCGGGTCCTCCTTCTTGCCCTTCTTATAGACTGGCGTGACATTTGCCATCCTCCAATCCTCAGGCACCTCTCCTGTTTCCCACCACTTACCAAAGATGATGGAGAGTGGCTCAGCAATGACCTCCGTCAGCTCCCTCAGCACCCATGGGTGTATTCCATTCAGACCCATCGATTTATAGATGTCCAGATTGCTTAACTGATCCCTAACCCAATCCTCATCTACCAAAGCAAACTCCTCCTTTATCCTGACTCCTTCTGGGGCTATAGGAATCTGGGTCCCCTGGGGAGAGCCTGCAGGAGTAAAGACAGAGGCAAAGAAGGCATTCAGCACCTCTGCCTTCTTTATTTCCTCTGTCTCCAGGGCACCCACCTCGTTCAGCAGTGGGCCCATATTGTCTCTTGTGTTAGTTTTATCCGCTATGTATTTGAAGAAGCCCTTTGTATTGTCCTTAACCCGACTTGCATGATTAAGTTCCAAGGAGGCCTTAGCTGTCCTAATTGCCTCCCTACATCCTCTAACAACTGTCCTATATTCCTCCCAAGTGGCCAGCCCCTCCTTCCATAATCCATAGATTCTCTTTTTCCGCATGAGTTTGCCCAGCAGTTCCTTGTTTAACCATGCTGGTCTCCTGGCTCCCCTAATTGACTTCCTACCCACTGGGACACTGATCCTGAGCTTGGAAGAAGTGGTCCTTGAATGCTGACCAACTACCTTGAGCCCCTTTACCACCTAGTACCCTTTCCCATGAGACTTCCCTTAGCAATTGATTGAAGAGGCCAAAGCTGGCCCTTCGGAAATCCAGAATTGTGGCCTTGCTAGGTATTTTATTCCTCCCACGCAGGATCCTAAACTTCACCATCTCATGGTCACTGCAGCCCAGGCTGTCATTGACCATCACCACTTCAACCAGACCCTCCTTGTTGGTGAATACTAGATCCAGCAGCGCTCCTCTCCTCTCACGGAACCTTGCTGGAGAGACCTTCCTCCCTTTTCACTGAAGAGTTGTATATTGTGTGGTTTTTGCTCCAATGGTGCTTTGACAATTCTGTTGCTTAAAAAAGGTGACATAATTTTTCTTTTTCATGCCTATTCTGTCAGGTGATTTTGTTAAACATGTATTTTCTAAAAGTTTTGTGTTTCTGATTTGCTTGGAAGGAATTCCAGCATGCTGTGGGAGAGCCCAGGCAGGGTGAGAAAAAAAATCCTGGACTCCTGACTCCATGCCTGCTTCTTGATTAAAATATGAATGCTTTCCTTTAAAGTCTAAGGCATTCTTGGAAGCGCTTTCCTTACAAACCACAAGATGAATCTGTACTCTGGTTTTCATGCATTATCTCATAACAGGGCTCTCAGCTGCCTGATTCCAAGGAGACCTCACAGAAATACTTTTCCTTTTGTTCAAGTATAGCATTTGCAAAGACTTCACATAGTTCCTTTGAAAGAAGTAGAGCTGAGCTGGTTATGCCATTCACACGTTGCTGAATGCCGTCCCCAGCTTTAGGGAAAACTGTTAAACCTCTACATTTTATTCTGCTTTCAGACTTCTGTCTTAGAATCATAGAATTGTTAGGGTTGGAAAGGACCTTAAGATCATCAAGTTCCAACCCCCTTCCATGGGCAGGGACACCTCACACTAAACCATGTCACCCAAGGCTCTGTCCAACCTGGCCTTGAACACCGCCAGGGATGGAGCATTCACAACTTCCTTGGGCAACCCATTCCACTGCTTCACCACACTCACAGTAAAGAACTTCTTCCTTATATCTAATCTAAACTTCCCCTGTTTAAGTTTGAACCCATTACCCCTTGTCCTATCACTACAGTCCCTAATGAAGAGTCCCTCCCCAGCATCCCTGTAGGCCCCCTTCAGATACTGGAAGGCTGCTATGAGGTCTCCAGGCAGCCTTCTCTTCTCCAGACTGAACAGCCCCAACTTTCTCAGCCTGTCTTCAGATGGGAGGTGCTCCAGCCCCCTTAGCATCCTCATGGCCCTCCTCTGGACTTGTTCTAACAGTTCCATGTCCTTTTTATGTTGAGGACACCAGAACTGTACGCAGTACTCCAAGTGAGGTCTCACAAGAGCTGAGTAGAGGGGCAGGATCACCTCCTTCGACCTGCTTGTCACTCCTTTTGATGTAGCCCAGGATACAGTTGGTTTCTGGGCTGCAAGCGCAAACTGAAGCTGTCTCAAGTTTCTCATCGACCAACACCCCCAAGTCCTCCCCAGGGCTGCTCTGAATCTTTTCTTTGCCCAACCTGTAGCTGTGCCTGGGATTGCCTGACCAAGGTGTAGGACCTTGCACTTGTTATGGTTAAACTTCCTGAGGTTGGCATCAGCCCACCTGGCAAGCGTGTCAAGGTCCCTCTGGATGGCATTCCTTCCCTCTAGCATATCAACTGAATCACACAGCTTGGTGTCATTGGCAAACTAGTTGAGGGTGCACTCAATCTCACTGTCCATGGCACTGACAAATATGTTGAACAAGACCGATCCCGACACCTATCCCTGAGGGACACCACTCATTATTGGTCTTCAGCTGGACATTGAGTTGTTGACCATAGCTCTTTGCATGCAGCCATCCAGCCAGTTCTTTATCCACCGAGTAGTCCATTTTTTATATCTATTGTTCTTGGAGGGGAATATTAATGCGAATTTTAATTTGAATATATGTGTTTTTTAAAATCCATTCTTGTTCAGGGCAGTTCTCCTTGTATTGCCTTCAGAGGAATGTAGCAGCAGAAGCTGTTAACCAGTCTCTCTAGAGATCCTTTTTTTATTTACAGCCAAGCGATGAGTTTTTTTCTTCCTTTTCAGCTGCTAAATTGGTCTAAGTACATAACTTTCCTTATCTTCTCCATGTAGACAACTGCTGTCTTTGCCACAAGGCAGTTGTCATTGCCACACAAAGGGAAGGCCTCCACCAGATGCTCCTTCTTCAGATGTTTCAGATGCTGAAAAGTTCTGTGGTGGTGAATGGAGGCAGAGTGAGGGAAGGCCAGGGTGCCTTTTAGATTGAATAGTTGATTTCCTTGCCAGATACCTCTGAAAATTCTCTAGTCATGTATGTCTTTGCGTTCTGCATTGCCTCCTTTTGATTTTTCAGCTGCAGACTCATGAAGCCAGTGAAGGTTGAGGGTTGGTGTGTTTTTTTTTTCCTGGAGGACAAAGACAAAGGCTGGTACTTTAAAAGTTTCAACACTTTTGAACAAAAGTTTCAACACATTTGTTCAACACACAATAACCTTCAACTTCTTGGGGTGTTTCATGACTTATTTCGTGCTCATCCCCTGTGGTGGTTAATCTTCAAAACAACCTCTATCTCCCAGACTTTCTTCCTGGGGCTGCAGTGCCTGGGGCTGATGTAGAGTTTTATTTGGGCTGATTCAGAATTCTTGCCTGGAGGTGAGGAGTAGAAGGGAAGGTGTCAAGTTGTTGCCAGAGAAGACTGGAAGAAATATGTGTGACTTTTTTTCCTGAGAAGCCTGTGTGAAGTTGTTCCTCAGCACTGTGGGGAAGCATGTTGGAAATAGTTACGGTGATAGCAGTTGTCCTTCAGAACTAGATAAATGCTGCTGGGTTATTGCATTAATGCAGGAATACCACTGTGTATTTTAAATAGAAGGAATTGGCTTGAGCTTAAATAGGCATGACATGAGTGCCAAGCAGGGGACAGTCTAGTATGTTTCAGGTAAAATTATGCAGCTTGAAACCTTCGTCTGTGGTGTGGCATCAAGATGTCCATAACACCTGGAGGGTTTGGCAGTCACTTTTGAAACACCGAGGTTGATGAATCTTTCTGTTTGTAGCAGCACATTGCGAAGATGCTGTGGGGTATTTATTGTAACTTTATATTGTTTTTCTCTTCTGTTTCGCTCCAGGGTATGTTTTCAGTGACTGATATTTGACTATATTGTGAAATGTCAAGTCGCTGCAGAAAATGCACCACGTGAAATGTCAGCTTGTCTGTCTGTTCCAGGATGATGACTTAGAAGAAGGAGAAGTTAAAGACCCCAGTGACAGAAAAGTGAGGCCACGTCCCACCTGCCGATTCTTCATGAAAGGTAATGACATACTGTAATGGCAGAAGAAAACCAAAGTTGCTTTAATTTTTTCTTGTTTGATTTTGTACCCCTTAAGCTGCTGTCTGCATGATAAACTTTGCCCCAGGCATCCCCAGTATCACCTTTCTGTTTCTTGGCAGCCAGATGCTGAATTTACATAGAGCCAGCATGCAAAAGTGGCTTTGCCATAAGTGTGGTGAGCCTGTGGAAGCAAATAAGGGAAGACTTAGAATCATAGAATGGTTTGGGTTGGAAGGGACCTTAAAGCTCATTTAGTTTCAACCCTCTGCCATGGGCAGGGACACCTTCCACTAGACCAGGTTGCTCCAAGCCCCGTCCAACTTGGCCTTGAACACTGCCAGGGATGGGGCAGTCACAGCTTCTCTGGGAAGCATGTGCCAGCGCCTCACTACCCTCACAGGGAAGAACTTCCACCTAAGATCTCATCTCAGTCTCCCTTCTGTCAGTTTAAGGCCATTCCCCCTTGTCCCGTTCCTACAGGCCCTTGTCAAAAGCCCCTCTTCAGTTTTCTTGTTGGCCCCTTTAGGCACTGGAAGCTGCTCTAAGGTCTCCCTGGAGTCTTTTCCAGGCTGAACAAGCCCAGCTCTCAGCCTGTCTCCATAGCAGAGGTCCTCCAGCCCTTGGAGCATCTTCATGGTCTCCTCTGGACTCCAACAGCTCCATGTCCTTCTTGCGTTGGGGGCCCCAGACTTGCTAGTGTTTTTTAAACAGAATGGAATAAACTTGCTTTGTCTTATTGTAAATTTTTTGTAGTAAATATTAATAGGACATTTCCCAAAGTTTGGGCAACTCCACAACAGCTATCTTTTAGACTATCCTTTTTTTTTTTTTTTTATATATAGCGTAGAGAGTTAGGTTTTATAAAAGTTTTCTTATTTAAACTGATTATATCTGAATAATATAATCTTTCACTTCCTCCAGCTTCATCTCACTTAAGGTTTGTTCATTTATTTGGTTTTATTTGCAGTCACCCTTGAAACAGTTTATGAATATCTGTAATTAAAAGAAGGGTGGAAAACAGGATGGAGTCTCTTACTCTTTACATCAGTGGTGTAATGCAACGTAGGGAGCTGCTTAGGGGTTTCCAGAGACCTGACCATTGCATATTGCATACTCTGCTTCCTGAATGTCTTTCAGTATCAGATTTTTTCCATGTGCTGAGACACAAAGGTGTTGGTGATGATGATGGTGGAACAGGGAAGTCCCTCAGGAAAGAGAGCTATTTGTTCCTGAATCCTTAGCGTGACACACACCTCCGTTGCAGCATGGAAATATTTGCTCGAGTCAAAGTTCAGACTGCAGGATCTCCTGCTGTAGTTGTTATTCTTTGATTTGGTGTCAGTTAACATTGACACTTGCTCCTGCTTGGCCCATAAAGGCTTTACTGCCACCAGGAAGATCAGGCGCTGCTCACATGGGACCTTCAGGACCTTCAGGTTTTTCTCTTTACTGTGTTGGAGGAGCACTCGTGGCTGCATCTATCCAGTGGTGTGAATGACTAGCTTGCAAGGCCTTCCAGCAAACTTGCTGTATAGCCACCTTGATATACATAGCAGGACTCGTTATTTGTCAGGGTGACCATTCCCCTTGACGCCTCAGTAGGAAGTGTTGGCACAGGTGTCTGGCAGCTCCTACACCTAGTGCTCAGGCACTGAGAAAGGATAAGCCACTGTGCAAAGGGATTTGTGCTCTTGTTATAATTGACAGTGCAAAAGCATCCAGTGTTACCTCTGACACCAGCTCATGGTTAATCTGGGACTGATGAGGAGCATTTCCAGGGACCCAGGTGCGGTGTGAATTTCTGACATGTTACCCTGCCAGCCAAGGTCAGGGTTTCTTCCCTGAGCCCCAGCAGTGTTAACAGCTCCCTTGCCCCTCCAGCCAGTACACTAAAACCTGAACTACTGCAGAATTAGCAATAACTTTGTGATGCAGTTGTCTGCTGGGAGATCTGCAAAATGTCTCTTGCCTGATGTTGAGTGGATTGCTGGAATAAAACAAAAAAAGGGGGTTGTTTCTGAGGCAAGGTAAATTAAAGTTGGGAATTAGCTTTGTATCCTGTTAGAGACACCTGAGTGTTACAATTTCCTTGGGGTTGGTACCTGAAGCTAATGAGCAGCTTTCAGATTTGTCTGCTGCACTCCACAGTGATGTCTCCTTTCCTGCTTTGTGCTGGCAAGCTTGTGGATTCAGCTGGAGGGAAAAGCTTTGATGTACTTTATGCCTCACCAGAGTGCTGTTTATTTTGAATGCCCTGTGATGCTTTCTTTGCTGTCAGGTTATATGCATTCGTTGTTTTCTGTAAAAAGTGAAGCTTCTAACTTGGAGTATTTGTCATTAATAAGACTTGAAGAGCTCATAGGCTTATTACTGCATTTGCCTAATGGTGTGTATACATCTATCTCTCCTTTCTCCTCACCATAATGAGGTTCTTGTACATTCATCCGTCTGTGACTGGATCTATTCGTCTTCTCTGGGAAGGTGGTGGGTGATGAGTGTCATGTATGAAAAGAGGTATATCTCAAGAGCTAGAGAGAAGAAAAATCACATGTCTCAAACAGTGTTGTTCTTTGCTTGGTTTTAAAAAGTTGTGGGGCTGAACAAATGTTTGCTGTAGGTATACAGGGGTCTAACAGAACTGTATTTCCACAGGTCACTGTACTTGGGGCATGAACTGTCGATTTATTCACCCTGGTGTGAATGACAAAGGAAACTACTCCTTGATCTCCAAGCCTGAGCCCTTCTCCCCAAATGGTGCTCCTCCCATTGGCCCTCACCCACTGATGCCAGCCAACCCTTGGGTATGGGTATCTGTTCTGTGGATTTATAGCTTCTGCACATAGCTTTTGTCTCCTGAGATAAGTGAAGATGGTTTGGGTTTTTTAGTACTTTAACAACATTAGTCACTATTCAATTCATCAGTTGGATATATGATATTTTAAAAGGTGCTCTTGTAGTTGCTAGTAGAGGGGAATAATTTTCCATGTATGTCTCAGCTTATGTCCTGCTAATATATCTCCAGTGTCTGGATGTACTCTGGGGTAACAAAGCATGAGTTTGTTACTTAAAACTAATGTCAAGTGTCTGTCTCCTTCCTCTTCTCACCTTTCCAACAGGGAGGGCCAGTCGTTGATGAAATCTTACCTCCACCCCCCCCAGAACCTCCAACAGAAAGTGCCTGGGAGAGAGGACTCCGGCATGCTAAAGAGGTAAGTGCCATCCTCAGGAAGCATGCTGGTGTCTCCAAAATCTGGTGGCCTGTTTCACTGGGCGCAGGGAGATCTCTTTGGAGCATGTAGTGTCTTGCTCCTTCTGAGCAACCTTCCTTTTACCTTTTAACCTATTAACTGTGTCTTGTTGTATATCACAGTTGTTGCACAGTCAAGAGGAGCTGATGCCCAGGTTTGTTTTTTTGTTTTGTTTTGGGTTTTTTTTTTTCTTTTTTCTTTTTTTTGTGTTTGTTTTTTGTTTATAATATTCACATGAGCTAGGGGGAGTTTGTGGCCCTGAAGTCAAGCCCTCCACAAAGAAAAACCTTTCTAAGCTGATCCAGTTTCCCTTACTTCAGTAACTGTTTCTCTACCACGTATTAGATTCATGTGTCTGATCATTGCAGAAAATGGGGTTAGCACGTGTGAAACTTATTGCCTGTCTGCTGTTGTTCTGAGCTGATGGACTAGTGAATTACACTTTGTACATCAAGGAAAGTCCAGTGTCCTGCACATTCATGAGACCTGGGCAAAAGAAGGGTGTTTTAGTTGAAGGGCAGGTTTCTCCCAAGTGAAGGATTTTTAAGACTGCAGTTTCTCTGGGTCTTGGAAATATTCTCTCCTTACAATATTTTTATATTATGGCAGGTATTAAAAAAGGCGACTATCAGAAAAGAACAGGAGCCTGACTTTGAGGAGAAGAGGTTCACTGTTACTATTGGAGAAGACGAACGTGAATTTGACAAAGAAAACGAGTTCTTCCACGACTGGAATTACTGCATCACCAGAGACGTCAGAGATCCAGCGTAAGATGCAGTCTTGGTTTTGCTAGATGGAATAGATGGGGGGAAATGTAGTACAGGATGGCAGTCTTCAGTGAACTTATTCCTCCAAATTAGAGGAATGCTCACTTCAGAAAATGGAAACAACTTCAATTAAGCAATATGTACACCAGTTAAAAACTTGAGCTGCCTCCACTCACTCCAGTTCAACACTTCCTTCCTGTATAGTCATCGCTAAACCTTTCTGCCTTCAATGTCGTTGATACACAGGTCCTTCAAGGACACTGTCTAGTTGTGTACTGCCTGTGTCACACCAATGCATTCTTCCAACTGTTTTTCCTCTTGTTTTTCTTATTCCAACCCATGAGAGTTTTAAAATGCTAAAGCTGAGGCTGCAAAGATGGAATATGCTCAAGGTCCAAGAGCTTCAGGGCAGCAGTTGTACTGTCTTGACCAGCTGGGTGTTTATTTGCAAGGGCATTGGCACAGCAGCTGGTCTTAAACATCTTGACGAGTCTCAGATAAACTGCTGAGTAAGACAGTGGTCAGAAAGTGATTCTGTTAGTTGCCAGGGCATAGCCTGGGCCAAAACAAACATACTAAACTTAAGTGTCTAGGTGATTGTTTTTTTTTAAGGAGATGAAATATCAAATGTTGGAGACATTCCTGTTACACACTCCTGTTGCAACTGAAAGCAGGCAGGAGAAGTCACAAGGGTGAATCAGTCAGCTCTGGGAAACTTGCTTAGTGCTTCTCGAGCCAAGAAATCAAATGGAAAAAGATTTTTTTTGAGAGAGGGGCTTGTATTCTGCAGGAATACAGGTGAATCTGTTTCTCTTGCTCTTACATCTTCTGTTCTTCCTACACATACAGACTATGGAAATATTTCCACTCAGAAGTGTTTGCAAGGCTTGATTGTGTCTATTTTAGAGTGAGTGAATTGCAGAAAACCCCCAAGCCTCTGAAAATGAATAAGGAGTGGGTTAAGCTTTTGTTCTTTGATTTGCTGTGGAGTGCATTTTTTTCACCCATTTTAAAAAAGAAGCTATGTACTCAGTTCTGCAGCCTGAAACAAAACAGTTGCTCCGTATTAATTTTTCCCCAGGTTAGAAATAGATCTGTATCTTGATCTTCTGTTCCTCTGAGAAGGCTTTAAATTGCACCTGACACAGATCACCAGTGCTCTGTGGGTCTTTATGACTGTATATGGAAACTAGCATCAGTGTTCTAGTAGTTCTGTGCCACTGCCTTACTAATGTAGGAATTGTGTTAGATACAGGACTTCCTCTTTTCATATAGTCAAGAAAAAACTTTTTCATGTTGCCAGTATTAATTCCATTTGTTTGATGTCGTGGTTTAAGCCCAGCCATGCAGCCTCTCTCTCATTCCCCCCTTCCTCGCCCTGCTCCCGGAGGGATGGGGAGGAGAATCAAAAGAATGTAACTCCCACGGGTTGAGATAAGAGCAGTCCAGTAACTAAGGTATAACACAAAACCACTACTGCTACCACCAATAATAATAATGATAAGGGAAATAACAAGGAAAGAGAATACAACCGCTCACCATCCGCCAACCGATACCCAGAAAAACTGAGCAGTGATCTAGCCCTTCCGGGTAACTCCCACCGAGCAGTGATCTAACCCTTCTGGGTAACTCCCACCGAGCAGTGATCTAACCCTTCCGGGTAACTGCCCCCTGTTTATATAGTGGGCATGACTTGCTGTGGTATGGAATACCTCTTTCGTTAGTTTGGGTCAGGTGTCCTGTCTCTGCTTCCTCCTGGCTTCCTTTCCTCCCTGGCAGAGCATGAGGCTTGGTCAGACTTAAACATTACTGAGCATCAACTAAAAACATTGGTGTTATCAGCACTGTTTCCAGGCTGAAAGTCAAAACCACAGCACTGCACCAGCTACTAAGAAGGAGAAAAATGACTGCTACTGCTGAACCCAGGACATTTGGTTACTTGTTTAATGAAAATTCAAGCACCTTTATGTAGAAGTAGATTGTGGCATTAACCTATCTTGATTGTGCATAAAGGCAAAAGTTATGATGCTGCTGCTGTAAACTATAAAAATGGTGATTTTGCTCACATGTGCACACCCACACACACCTTATTGCACAGATTGACACCTTGCAGCAAACTAACCACTGGTGGTGCAGCTGGCATATTAATAAATGCTTTCAGGACTGTCTTATAACATATGGAAATGTCTAAATAGTTCATGAATCCCTTTATCTTGTTTGAAAAAGTATAGGGAGTTGGACAACTCCTGTGCAGGTCCCTTGACCTTACTCTGTTTTATGGGAAAACTGGCTTTCAGCAGGATTGGGATTATTTTCCTCCCTTTCTCAAAAACTTCTTCCGCTGTATCACCCCACACGATAATGTCATCAATGTATTGTAGGTGTTCTGGAGTTTGCCTCTGTTCCAGTGCAGTCTGGGTCAGTCCATGGCAGATGTTTCCACCCCAGGCTGTTTTTCCACTCGTGGGGCAGTCGGTTCCAAGTGTACTGGATGCCCCTCCAAGTAAAAGTGAACTGTGGCTTGCACTCTGCTGCCAAAGGAATTGAGAAAAATGCATTGGCAATATCAATTGTGGCATACTACTTGGCTGCCTTTGACTCCAGTTCATACTGAAGTTCTAGCAGCTCTGGTACGGCAGCACTCAATGGTGGTGTGACTTCATTCAGGCCACGATAGTCTACTGTTAGTCTCCACTCTCCATTAGACTTTTGTAGTGGCCATATGGGGCTGTTAAAGGGTGAGTGGGTCCTACTGATCACTCCCTGACTCTCCAGTCTATGGATCGGTTTATGGATGGGAATCAGGGAGTCTCGGTTGGTGCGATATTGCTGATGGTGCACTGTTGTGGTCGTGACTGGCACTTGTTATTTGACCTTCAGCAACCCCCCAGCAGAAGGATCCTCTGAGAGACCAGGCAAGGTGGATAATGGCTTGTGGTGTATCAAAGATGGACTCCAGGTCTGGTGAAATCTGATGACCTTTATTTCATGTCTAGCATTCCTTTTATAGTCTACTAAGTGCTAAGCAGTAACTTTCTACTCTTTTACTCCCTTATCATCCTGATTTAGCAAAACTACTAAGGGTTACCAATATTCACATTGTTTGGTCTGTCTTTGAGATGCACATCCTATTTTATCTTGCAAACTGTCTGCTTTGTTTTGCTAACCAATCTTTACCCTTCATTGTTCTCTTTACAGTTCCCAAGGCTTAGGCCTGACAAGGGCATTAATACCTACTGTTTTCTTCGCTATTCCCAGATCTTAAGCCAGACCAGGGCGATAGTGCCTGGATCCATTTCGTTAACTATTTCTATCCTGTCACCCACATCTCCCCCTTTTTGTTTTACTAAAAGACAGCTTTTATAGATTTATGATCTACTTTTGCCAAAGTTTCTGTATTCTCCATTAGCTATTGTACAAAACAAGGCACACAGATTAGAATACCTAAAAAGACTAATAAAATGATTAAGATAAAGTAAAGCCATCCTGTAATGCTCAAGACAGAAAACACTTTGTTCAACCAGTTCAGTCCTTCATCTTCCTGAAGGTGTGCCGTCCTTGTTATTAAGTCCAGAATGCTTTTATGAATGATCTGATAAATTCATGCAGCACATACCAACAAAATCTTCACACCCATAGTCTTGAGCTAACAATAAAAATCAACAGTTGTTCTGTTCTGTAGTGAGGTGTGCCTCACAGAATCAACATCTAAAAGCAACCCTGTTGTCCAGTGGTACCCTTTCCGGGCTTAAATGTTCCCAGACTATTACTAGTGGATGGAAAGTACAGTTGCGATACACTCCTGCACGGATACGCTCTCTGTTGACTGGTTCTCCAAAAAGAGACTGGTAAAATTTGTACAGTTCCTACAGGTTAACTTCAGCGATGAATCGGCATCAGTCTTCATTGGCAGTCGTTGCTTGTATAAACAGACAGGTACATTGTGCAGGGATTCATCAGGGTCCTCGTTCTGTAGAGACAAAAGTATAGCCTCTTCCCCAAGTTATTAACCTAAAAGGACATTCCCTGTTATGATTTTCCAAAGACTTTACTGTTACCATAACGGGTTCTTTCCCTGGTATCGGATCTGAGCCTGCATGGGTTAGTGCAGAAAAATGCCTAATCATTGGAGGGACATTCATGCCCGTGTGTAAATCAGAACTGGATAATGTTAAAAAATTTAAAACAAACAATGCTTATCATTCCCCCTTTTTGTTTTGCTAGCATTTTTTTACAATTTGGTGTCTCCACTCTATCACTGCTTGACCTGTGTAATTAACATAACGACACACTACTCCAGGCAGCATTATTTCAGTAAGATTAGTCTGATTTGAAGTCACTTGAACCTTTGTAACATGTGGCATACCAGTGAATCCTACACACCATGTAACAGGTCGGAATAATGGGGGATTTAACACATGTGCCCAGTATACTTGTCCATTACCCATGGTCACACATAATAGAACAGATATTACAAAGATTTCTGTCATTGTCGTTTCTTTATGTTGTTGAGTTCTGGGGCTTTATACATTTTGCTGGCAGCCAGTATGGTCCTGTCGATAGCTGTACACAGCCGTATCCTTGATCCCATGTCAGCAATGGCACTGGTCCTTTCCACTTGTTGTCCTGTAGGTCTTTATGTAGAACCGGTGGTTTGGGCAAGGAATCGTCCATCAGATGCGACAATCACTGTATTGCAGAAAGAGAATCAAAACTAGACAAATTTAAAGAATTTAGTACAAATTGCGCTTTTGCTGTCTGTGTGGAGAAAATCCTTGCATTCCCCTTTTTTTGTTTTATATATCTTTTAGATGACCCTACTTGAGCAGGGGATTTGGCTTAGATCATGTTGGGACCGGTCTTGTTTAACATCTTTGTCGCTGACATGGACAGTGGGATTGAGTGTGCCCTCAGCAAGTTTGCCGATGACACCAAGCTGTGTGGTTCGGTTCATAGGCTGGAGGGAAGGATTGCCATCCAGAGGGACCTTGACACACTTG